TTTCCGTGGTAATTTCCCACCCATCTGTTTTGTTGTTGTCCTTGTATTGTGATGTAAAACAGAGGAGGAGGAATTAGCTTTTTGTGGGGGTGGAACATTTACATAGAAAACAAGTGGTTGGGATACCATGTTGCAAGGGTGTTAAATTGTGGCCCAGGAAATAAAGTCAGTAGATTTTTAGTGTGCTGCACCCGGTGAACACACCAGTTTGCAAGCACTAAAAGAGGTCTATACACACACACACACACACACAGGTGTGTGCTATCTAAACCCTGGGTCCACCTGGTCATCTCTCAGCTGTGAGGCTTATGAAACTCTTGGTGATGTATGGACTCGACCCTCCTTACCTGGACTGACTGTCACCCTGGATGTGTCTGTCTGGACGACTGACAATGTATGATTGTGTTGAAACCAATGATGTATATAAACCCTGGATTGCGGACGCTATGTAATATCCAATGAGAGGCTTTGAAGCCACCAGTCGGCCATATTGGCACTCCCCAGGAGGTGCAGTCCTCCATAGGAATGAATGGAGTTCTACCACAGGAGGACGGGCTTGTGGTAATGACTGGAGCGGAATCAGTGGAATGGTATCAAACACATGGTTTCCATTCCATTTGCTCCGTTCCAGTCATTATTATGAGCTGTCCTCCCCTCAGCAGCCTCCACTGAGTTCTACAGTATTTCAATTAAATGTTTCAAGTACAACAGTTAGGTATTTATTTGTTGTAGTGGGGACAGTAACATTAGTACTCTCCCAAAAAAATCTTTAAAGAATATGTTTTTATATATATATAATTGTTTAAATAATTTAAAGTATGCATTAAGGTGTTATAATATAATATACTTGTCAAAAAACGAATGTAGACATTAATAAATGCATTTCTATAGCAACCCCCTTTTCCTGCTTGGATTGATTATGGGTGATGGAATGTTCAGCATGTGCATCTGACCCACACATCTAACACACACACATGCACACACTCACTCACAAACACAGAATTTCACCTCCGCCTCCCCAAGACATAGTGTTTGTAGACTTGCCAAGTCACTTGCATTTTTCTATCCAGCTGGATGTTAGGGGTGCATGTGATTTTCCTTCAGGTGTATATCTATAGACATGATTCATATTCACCCCTTACCTTACAATTACTGTCCTACATTTACATTCCATTCAACTTAGGATAGCCAGTGGGACAACCGCCACTGGGGGAGGGGGGGTGTAGAAGGATTAATGTTATACTACCACGGTATTATTCACTCAAATAGCTTCCACTGTGACCTAATTTTGTCAATGCATGTACACCACAACGCGTTTCTCATAATCTTTTGTAACGGAAATTCTTCCTCTCACCCTCGCTGAGCATGATGACCCCGCTCTCATATTTTGAGGCTTGATCCCAGGCCGAGCGTGTCACTGGCCCGAGCTGGAGATATGTACCGTGTGTGTGTGATGTCCTGGTGGTTTGGTTGGAGAGCGGGCCCAGTCTGACAGACTGTCTGCAGCCGCGGTGAGAGGCATTAGTCAGAGGAACCAACCTGGCCTTTCAGTTGCTCTCCTGACTAAGATGTGCTAAATTACATTTCCTGTGTTTCATAACAGTGACTAGCCGAGCTCTGACTGACGCTAGGACTTCCTGCTCAAGTCAAACATAAACACTTTTTTTGGACCGTTTTTAGGTAACGTCCCCACAGGTTTGACAATGGAGATGTTCTTTTGGCCTTGTGTAAACAAGCAGGCTTTAAAGCCAGGGAATCTTTGTTTCCTGGAACGTGTTTGTTGGGGGGGGGGGGGGGGGGGGGGGGGGAGTTTTGGAGTGATGTGTGTGATCCGTGAGGGCAGCGTGTGTGTGCATAACTGTTTCTCAATGCACAGTTGAAGTCTGAAGTTTACATACACTTAGGTTGGAATCATTAAAACTCATTTTTCAACCACTCCACAAATTTCTTGTTAACAAACTATAGTTTTGGCAAGTTGGTTAGGACATCTACTTTGTGCATGACACAAGTCATCTTTCCAACAATTGTTTACAAACAGATTATTTCACTTATAATTCACTGTATCACAATTCCAGTGGTTCAGAAGTTTACATACACTAAGTTGACTGTGCCTTTAAACAGCTTGGAAAATTCCAGAAAATGATGCCATGGCTTTAGAAGCTTCTGATAGGCAAATTGACATCATTTTAGTCAATTGGAGGTGTACCTGTGGATGTATTTCAAGGCCTACCTTCAAACTCAGTGCCTCTTTGCTTGACATCATGGGAAAATCAAAATAAATCAGCCAAGGCCTCAGAAAATAAATTGTAGACCTCCACAAGTTTGGTTCATCCTTGGGAGCAATTTCCAAATGCCTGAAGGTACCACTTCATCTGTACAAACAATACTACGCAATTATAAACACCATGGGACCACGCAGCCGTCATACCGCTCAGGAAGGAGACGTGTTCTGTCTCCTAGAGATGAATGTACTTTGGTGCGAAAAGTGCAAATCAATCGACATAACCTGAAAGGCCGCTCAGCAAGGAAGAAGCCACTGCTTCAAAACCGCCATACAACAGCCAGACTACGGTTTGCAACTGCACATGGGGACAAAGATCGTACTTTTTGGAGAAATGTCCTCTGGTCTGATGAAACAAAATTAGAACTGTTTGGCCATAATGACCATCGTTATGTTTGGAGGAAAAAGGGGGTAATTGCAAGCCGAAGAACACCATCCCAACCTTGAAGCACGGGGGTGGCAACATCATGCTGTGGGGGTGCTTTGCAGCAGGAGGGACTGGTGCACTTCACAAAATAGATGGCATTATAAGGATGGAAAATGATGTGGATATATTGAAGCAACATCTCAAGACATCAGTCAGGAAGTTAAAGCTTGGTCGCAAATGGGTCTTCCAAATGGACAATGACCCCAAGTATACTTCCAAAGTTGTGGCAAAATGGCTTAAGGACAACAAAGTCAAGGTATTGGAGTGGCCATCACAAAGCCCTGACCTCAATCCTATAGAAAATGTGTGGGCAGAACTGAAAAAGTGTGTGCGAGCAAGGAGGCCTGCGAACCTGACTCAGTTACACCAGCTCTGTCAGGAGGAATGGGCCAAAATTCACCCAACTTATTGTGGGAAGCTTGTGGAAGGCTACCCGAAACGTTTGACTCAAGTTAAACAATTTAAAGGCAATGCTACCAAATACTAATTGAGTGTATGTAAACTTCTGACCCACTGGGAATGTGATGATAGAAATAAAAGCTGAAATAAATCTCTCTACTATTATTCTGACATTTCACATTCTTAGAATAAAGTGGTGATCCTAACTGACCTAAGACAGGGAATTTTTACTAGGATTAAATGTCAGGAATTGTGAAAAACTGAGTTTAAATGTATTTGGCTAAGGTGTATGTAAACTTCCCACTTCAACTGTACATACAGTACATACTTGGCTTCCTTTCCTCATTTCCGAAGTCTTTGTAACCATTGATAGGTGAACGTTTATGTTCTAAGTGTGAAACAAAAGGAGAAGATAGGTTTCATCTTACTACACTACAATGGGCCCCGTGTAGCTCAGTTGGTAGAGCATGGTGCTTGCAACGCCAGGGTTGTGGGTTCAATTCCCACGGGGGGCCAGTATGAAAAAATTTGTGCACTCACTAACTGTAAGTCGCTCTGGATAAGAGCGTCTGCTAAATGACTAAAATGTAAAAATTTACACTCTTAGAAAAAAAAGGTGCTACCTAGAACCTAAAAGGGTTGGTTCTACGGTTGATCTCATGTGGGTTCCATGTGGCTCAGTTGGTAGAGCATGGTGCTTACAACACCAGGGTTGTGGGTTTGATTCTCACAGGGGACAAGTATGAAAATGTATGCACTCTCTACTGTAAATCGCTCTCGATAAGAGCGTCTACTAAAATGTAAATAGGATAACCCTTTTCGCATGCCCCTTTCCATAGAGGGTTCTACCTGCAACCAAAAATGGTTCTCCTACGAGGACAGCCGAAGAACCCCTTTGGAACACTTTTTTTTAAGAGGGTACTTATTTCCTATATGCTGTCAGATCAGATATTTATCCAGTATATTGTTCTCTTACAACCCACTCACTATCACTGTGCCACAATAGAACACTTTCACTGACATTTTAACCTCTGTCATCTAGAAACAAACAAGGAGCCTCAAATGGTTGGAAAATGCATTACAAGATTCTTTAGATACCTTCATCTCAATATGGCCTTTTTCCTGTTGCTTTAAACACCCCAACCTCCCTGTCCAAAACAACACCACCACCCACAATCCACCCATACCCACGTCAAAATCAAATCAAATAACATTTTATTTGTCACATGGGCTGAATAAAAGTGTAGACTTTACCGTGAAATGCTTACTTACAAGCCCTTTCCCAAGAATGCAGTTAACTTTGTCTTGCTCTTTTCCCACCCAACACCCTCTGACTTAATTTGTCCAAATCGTCTGTCTGTCTGGCTGCCCTCCTATACCCCTCCCTCTGTCTGTCTGTCTGCCCTTGTCTCCCTTCCTGCCCCCCTCTGTCTGTCTGTCTCTGTCTGTCCTCGTCTCCCTCCCTGCCCCCTTTTGTCTGTCTGTCTGTCTGTCCGTCTGTCCTAATCTCCCTCCCTGCCCCCCTTTGCCCTCTCTAGCATCTGAGAGAGGTTGTGATGACGTCTGGCAGCCTCTATAAAATGGGGAGCCACTGTGAAAATCTCTTAATGAAGTTGCAAAGAGCCTGAGTCGAGCTGTGCTGACTACTGCCATCTCCATAGAAACGGATCAAGTTGAACTTGAATTTTCTCCTCAGAAAACACAAAAACAGACGGGCTCACCCACATCTCCTTTGGATAGATGAGAAACAGGGAGATATCATTTCTAAGTAGTGAACAGCTCCTCTTCTTCACATTGGTTTGATCACTGCGTCTTTCGACACTGCTAGCCCTGAGAGTGAAGAGTCTAGCTGACATATTGGGAGAACTTTGTATTCATATTTTTTACGCACCCATGAAAATCACGTTTTCTTTGTGGACAATGATGCGACAAGCAAGCATCTCCTCTGTGGTGTTCCTATCTTGCACTGTCATGCTGGTAAGTACTTTTAAAAGTGTTTTATACGTGTGCTTTTACCACTCTCCATTCAAATGAATGTCTTTACATCATCAGGTTCTACATGCTTCACCATAAGCTCTTTAAAAATTATACAATGACATCCTTAATATTTAAATTGAGAAATTGCAAGTGAATATTGTGGTCACATTCATTTCAAATTATGAATATTAAATTGTCCATCTATTAACTGAAATAATGAGACAGGGATCTTTGAACTAATTCATAATTGAGTCAATTTCATTTCCATAAAAACATTAGAATTGAGGGCTTGTTTGATGCTTTTGAGCTTGATGATCTAGTCTGGGTCGCTCCAAGCTGATGTGTAACAATCATGCTTTGAAAGGTAGAAGAAGAAATGTGTCCTAACAAGATTAGAACAGGGTGCCGGGTTGAATGAAAGCATTGTTCTAAATCAAATTCCTTTGTACAATCACAGTTTAATTATTAGGATATTAGGGTACACAATCAGAGAATTTGGACAGGAATTTCTGCTCAGTGTTAGCTGATATTTGATCTGCATACTGTATATTAATCTATCTGAAATACCGGTAAGAGTTTTTGATTGTGGATAACCAAGAGGACTTTAGATCTTTGGGTAACCTTATTCTAGGTATCCACTTGATTCCACAATTTTTTCTCCTCCGGATATTTACTCAAGCATTGCACAAGCCCTCGTCTGTGGGGGCTTCCAGCACCAAAGGGATGCCCTTCCTCAGTGCCCTGCAGTGCCCCCCCCCCCCCCCCCCCCCCCCCCCCCACACACACACTAACTTTCAATCCTCTCGCTGTGTTTCCCAGGTGCAGGGTGGATGCCCGCCGCAGTGCTCGTGCCCCTCCTCACCGCCCTCATGCCCACCGGGCGTCAGCTGGGTGACAGACTCCTGCGGCTGCTGTAAGGTGTGCGCTAGGCAGTACAACCAGGACTGCAGCCCAAGCCAGCCCTGTGACCACATCAAGGGCCTGCACTGCCACCTAGGGTCTGGAGGAGACCCGGAGACAGGACTGTGTCGAGGTAAGGGCATGGACATCGAAATGGCCTCGGGTTAAGGAGGGTGGGACTGGACATACTTATGCTATGATTGACATTTCCTATCCACCTTCTGATTGGCACTGATAATATTATTGATAATGCTAACTCTAATGAATATAATGATATGTACAAAAACGACAATGATTGTACAAAAATGATCTTGCCTCTGTTGCATTGCTCCTGTCCCAGCTGAGGCAATGGGTCGTCCTTGTGAGCTGAACGGCCGGGTCTATCAACACGGGGAGGACTTCCAGCCAAGCTGCCAGCACCAGTGCAGCTGCATGGACGGCGTGGTCGGCTGCATGCCCCTGTGCCCACACCAGGTGCCACTACCAGATTGGCACTGCTCCCGGCCCCGGCTGGCCAGGCTGCCAGGCCGCTGCTGCGAGGAGTGGCTCTGTGACGATGACAACCATATCGAGGAGGACTCCAGAGAGGTTGACCACTCTCCACCTCCTTCCCCACCCCAGCACCCTGATCTTGCCAGCAACGAGCTGCTCATGGCTCCCACCCCCTGGGACTCAAGTGCTGGAGCCTCGTATCAAGGTACATAATGATACTCTCTTTTTTGTTATGAAATATACATTTGTAATGTTTTGTATCAGCCAGAGGAGAATGGTGTTCCTCATAGCTCTATGTTTGGCCCTCTCTTCTTACAGAGTGGATCTCCTCCCCCCAGTCCCATGCCTTACTTCCCGCAACCTGCTTCCTGCAAACCACTGATTGGTCTCCTTGCTCAGCCACGTGTGGGATGGGCGTGTCCAGCCGAGTAACCAGTAGCAACGCTGAGTGTCGGTTGGCCAGAGAGACACGACTGTGCCAGATCCGGCAATGTGATCTTGCCCTCACCCCTTCTCTCAAGGTAAGGCATGGACAATGTGTGAATCAACGGGCACACTTTTTCAATGACAAGAAACATAATGGTCCAGGATCAACAAATGGGAATTACACTACTATAAATTGACCACTAGACAGGTTATGGAATTTTACCATGTGTAATTCACAGATATCCACCTGTCAGGCAGTGGAGGCTGCTGAGGGGAGGACAGCTCATAATAATGGCTGGAACGGAGCTAATGGAAAATAAACCATGCGTTTGATACCATTCCACTAATTCTGCTCCAGCCGTTACCAAGAGCCTGTCCTCCCCAATTAAGGTGGGCCACCAACCTCCTGTGCGGTCAGGGTGTATGTATTTTGACCTGTGACCCCATTCCTCTTACAGAAAGGGAAGAAGTGCCAACGCACAATACGTCCTCGCAAACCTGTCCGGATCAAGTTCACCGGCTGCTCTACGGCGCGCCAGTATCGTCCTCGTTCCTGTGGCTTGTGTGCCGACGGCAGCTGCTGCACTCCTTCTCTGACGCGCACGGTGAACCTTCACTTCCGCTGCCCCGGAGGTAGGCAGGACTTTACCCGTAGCGTCATGTGGATCCAGCGTTGCCGCTGCAGCCAGAGCTGCCAAAGTCAAGGGCTTGCCTCCCCGGGCTCCCTCAGTCTGCCTAACGACATCCATACCTTCACCCACTGAGCCCCATGCCTAAACTCTAGCACTTCTCGCCCCAAGAACTTGCCCTTGACCTGACTCCAGCCCTCGACTCCAGGGTTCACCTTTGCCCTAATCTCACTGTCTCCTTCCAAAAACGTTTCCTGTTCCCTAACTGCTGCAGTAGTCTCTTTACCCCAGTACTCACCCTTGCCCTGTCTCCAATCTGTGTTCCTTAGCATCAGCCCTCACTCCTGCCCTCGCCCCACACGGAAGGCTCCATCAGCTGGGGGAAGGACACTAATGTGATGTAGTGAACTGTTTTATTCTTACAGCTGCCTAATTGTGTACCTAACACTTTCTCTCTCTCATTCTCTCACTGGTGGTAACTCCCCCCATAATCCAACAGTTTTGGTTTGGTCTTCACCCACACCCAAAATTAAGCACCTCCATATAACTTCAGTGATGGACTGATTGACTTTAGAAGACAGTTGGGGGTTGCTTCTGTGTTACTGTAGTTTGGAATGGTGAATTGTACTCTGTGGGACTGTACTTATAACTACCCAATGAGAAAGGTTAGACTGAAAATCAGACAGGCAATCTCACAGAGACGTTTACATAGCATCCCCTCTGATAAAGGTCTTTATAGCCTTATAGCCCTTTTCACTGGTCTGTTTTGCTTCTGTTCAGTAAGTGACAGATCTGTGGGCGATAGTGTGCATTCTACAACTATCTCTATCAGTGGACCTCCTATCAAATTTGATGGGCAAGAATATAAATGCACAGGTGTTCATGGTTTACACTCTGAAATATGAATCATTATTGTTATGGACACAGAGGTTTTAAATGAACCTTTGTAAGTTATTCATGTTTAATTATTGTAGTGATGACTTGTAAATATGTATTTACTATACTTTGTACAGTTAGGCATTGTTGATTTGTTTGTCATTAGGTATATATGCCTGCCTTGTATCGTCTCTATTTGTACAGACTTCACTTACGATGGAGTGACATGTTTTGGATATTACCTCCTTTTTCGAGGTGCACAGAATATAAACAATAGTGGACCGAGATTGTAATATGTTAATTTATATCACTTTATTCTGATTCATATATTCATTAAATGTCTTATATTGAAAGTGCCTCTTGTAAAAAATCACAAATGCCATGAAAATATATGTGTTTCTACAAAAACAAAATGTGCGTGATATTTTGTCCCCATAATTTGATGCTTAACAACTTTGTGTCCCACTTTTCTGTTTACCAGAACACACAGTCTGTGATTTGATTACTCTACAGTCTAAAATGTATTATTTTGTATAGATATCATTACTAGATATTCATGTACAAATATGATACAGTCCACATTGTCAATCACAAATCAGTGAATCAGATTTTTACAATGGGACCCAGAACAGAGGCAGGTGGAACACCCTGAAGCGGACTGGGGAAGGATTCACTAAAGAGACTAGTGGGACAGAGAGACCCATCTGACAGTGTTGTTTGCTGTGGAACTGTGGGCTAGGGTTAAGGCCTCGGTTCAAGTTCCTGTAGGTTTGTACACGGCGTCCAGGCCCAGTTTCACATGGCAAACATTGCAGCCGCTTCACAAATACCACACACTGTATCCTTGTTTCTCAGACCCGCCACTCTCCCCCGCGCTCTGTGGCTAACTATTCACACTGACCTCCCCACACCATGCCGATGAATACTTGATGTCAGCTGTGATGCCAAGGATGATTACTTCTACTGCCACCACTACTACTGCATGCCACTAATACCACCAGGATTTCCACGACCACTGCTGCAATTACTAGCATTGGTACTTCCCACCCATACTACAAGAGCAACAACAACAAAAAATACTTAGGTTTCCGCTACTGTTATGAATAAATTAAACATTTACCAGGAAACCCAAGTCTGAAAAGTCTGACCTTAAAGTGTCATGAGAAGAGGCACTTGTGTTTTTACAGAAACCAGCTTTTTTTATTTTTTATATTCCAGGGTGGCATTCTCTTCTTGCTTCAAGGGTCATGTTGTCAATATTGAGGTAGAACGTCTTACATTTGCAACTGTTACCAAGTTTAGCAAAATACTTTCACCTTGATTTTCAAAGACTTTTCATGTCAATGTTCAATGTGATGCATTAATGCTGACCTTTCTGTTCCCTTGGGACCTGGAAAAACACTATACATATGAATAAAATGCACTATTATCATCATTATGATCAACTTTATTTATTTTTTAAACGGTAAGAATGTTATAAACTGTTAGCAGGTCAGGGGCATGCAATTCAGGAGAAGAAAGGACAAGGGGGAGGAGAAAGCGGGAGAAGGGTGGGATTGTGCAGCTGGAATCCTTTGTGGGTGTGTGAGTCGGTATAATGTGTAGATGCGTGTGTGTAAGAAATGGAATTCCCAGTGTCTTGCGCTGCATTGTCGGAGTGTACATTGGCTCGGAGGGCAGACAGGAAGTCCCAGGTGTAGCGCGGCCTCACAGAGAGCTGTGAGTGTTAGCACGACCTTGACGGAGGAAAAGGAAATACTGTATGTCGGAAGCTTGGGGTGTCGCAGGTGGATTGTGAAGGGATTGACAGGGTAAGGAAGGGGTGGGAGATGCCACAAAGTAATCAAACACGAATGTTCATATGATACAAGCACCATGCATTCCCCTTTCTAAAATCAAGAACAGTCGACTAATTTATGCCAGGTTTGATAGAATATGCCAGATTTTTCACGAACCAAATCAGAGAATACAGGCACAATACAACAGCCTGTATTTTAGAAAGTAATTTTGCACATACCCAATCCTGGATCTTTGGATGCAATGGAAATACCACCCTCTACTGGCAATTAAAAACAACAACAGTGATGTGTGTTGTGGATCGTGTTAATAAAATCTTGAAAACCCAGAACTAAAATTGCGTAATTGCTTCAGATGCTCGATTAAATTATGGGGGCAGACGTGTTAGAAAATATATAACGTTACCCTATGAAAGTCCCGCCTGGTGCAAGTCCGGTACTCTTTTTGAAGGGGCATCAAGCTTATATAATCAAATTCATGATAATTGGGTAATTTAAGATATATGTAAAACTTTATTCGTATTAGTGGATTAATTTAGCTTTACCCAATGCCTTTTATGAAGGTTTTCGATTACTAAAAAACCGCTATCGAAAACCTTCATAAAGGCATCAGGTAGAAGTAAATTAATCCACGAATACGAATCTAATTTTACTTATCTCTTAAATGACCACGTTTTCGTGAATTCTATGACATAAATTTGAAGTACTGGACTTGCACCAGGAAGTAGGCGGGACAATCATAGGTTATTATTCCGCATTTACGTCGTGTCGGAGTGATCAAGGAAACGATATGGAGCCAGATAGCTGCCAAACGGTTGAATGTACGTATCGTTAGGATCATAAAAAATCCATAAGTAAATTGTTAGGATAGTAAGAAAAGCCATGTGTGAAACATGAAACGTAACCGTGAAATTAGATCTGTAAATGTACAAACCCTATGTTATGACTATGAATGAACATTTACACGTTCAATTCTTATTTTACATCTCCCTTTATTCGGTTACAGATCTTTTTTATACATACAAACTTTTGTCAGGAATGTGGCATCTGCAAAGGACATGAACCGAACGTAGCTAGTCGAAGTTAGCTAGTCAATCAAGCAACTTTAGCCCAGACGTTAGAGTTGCTTTGCAGCTTCTGGACCACTGTGCACCGAGTGGCGCAGTGGTCTAGTGGCTGAGTGCATTGCAGTGCTAGCTGTGCCACTAGAGATCCTGGTTCGAATCCAGGCTCTGTCGTAGCTGGCCGCGATCGGGAGACACATGGGGCTCTGTCGTAGCTCGGGAGACACATGGGGCTCTGTCGTAGCTGGGGCGATCGGGAGACACCGAGTGGCGCAGTGGTCTAGTGGCTGAGTGCATTGCAGTGCTAGCTGTGCCACTAGAGATCCTGGTTCGAATCCAGGCTCTGTCGTAGCTGGCCGCGATCGGGAGACACATGGGCCTCCTCTCCACCCTCTCCGAGATGGGCATCTCCGGCGCGGCTCACTCCTGGATTGCGTCCTACCTGACCGGTCGCTCCTACCAAGTGGCGTGGCGGGAAGCTGTCTCCGCACCACGTGCTCTCACCACTGGTGTCCCCCAGGGATCGGTTCTGGGCCCTCTCCTTTTCTCCCTATACACCAAGTCACTTGGCTCTGTCATATCCTCACATGGTCTCTCCTATCATTGCTACGCTGACGATACACAACTAATCTTCTCCTTTCCCCCTTCTGATAACCAGGTGGCGAATCGCATCTCTGCATGTCTGGCAGACATATCAGTATGGATGACGGATCACCACCTCAAGCTGAACCCTGGCAAGACGGAGCTGCTCTTCCTCCCGGGGAAGGACTGCCCGTTCCATGATCTCGCCATCACGGTTGACAACTCCGCTGTGTCCTCCTCCCAGAGTGCGAAGAGCCTAGGCGTGACCCTGGACAACACCCTGTCGTTCTCCGCCAACATCAAGGCAGTGACCCGCTCCTGCAGGTTCATGCTCTACAACATTCGGAGAGTGCGACCCTGCCTTACACAGGAAGCGGCGCAGGTCCTGGTCCAGGCACTCGTCATCTCCCGTCTGGACTACTGCAACTCGCTGTTGGCTGGGCTCCCTGCCTGTGCCATTAAACCCCTACAACTCATCCAGAATGCCGCAGCCCGTCTGGTGTTCAACCTTCCCAAGTTCTCTCACGTCACCCCCCTCCTCCGCACACTCCACTGGCTTCCAGTTGAAGCTCGCATCCGCTACAAGACCATGGTGCTTGCCTATGGAGCAGTGAGGGGAACGGCACCTCTGTACCTTCAGGCTCTGATCAGTCCCTACACCCAAACAAGGACATTGCGTTCATCCACCTCTGGCCTGCTGGCTCCCCTTCCTCTGCGGAAGCACAGCTCCCGCTCAGCCCAGTCAAAACTGTTCGCTGCTCTGGCACCCCAATGGTGGAACAAGCTCCCTCACGACGCCAGGACAGCGGAGTCACTC